GCCAAAACAGCAAGACAGAAGTGATTACAGTGAACACTTAGGAGTTGGATATATCTCACTGGCTAATATAACTGATGGAAAGACTGGTTGTGGTTGTGCCAATCACTGACATTTTCACGTCATCGGGTTAGCCTTGCAGTAAAACAACATAACATAGTTATCAGCTTTTAATGGACAAAATAACATAATTACTCTATGTCCTTTTGTTATGACTAGTATGTTTATTTCTTATGTCCTTCAGATAGTCACAACATAAGGGTAGTGGCCCTTTTCTTCTCTCATAAGCAGTGTAGAGTGTTGGGTCCTATTTTTATATTTTTTATCCCTAGGTGTAAATGTTCTCTTAAATGTCATGTAATGGCAGACAGGAACAGGGAGACAAATGAACCTGTTTATCAAAAGCAATCGTGCCATGAGAGGGTGAGTCGATCTGTTGAGCAGTCTTGACCGCGCGAACTGTGTTACCCATTTCAGGGCTTTAGCCATCCTACATCAGTCATGTCAGGTTGGCCTCTTTTTGTGTATGGTGCTATGTTATCTAGAGGAGTCCTAGGTAATTATCTATTTAAAAAATATCCGAGTGTGAGAATCCTTATGTATATGCAGTAGTTACCAAGTATATTACCATGCACAGATTGAGGGGTTGATGGAGACTGTCATGTTTATCAAGACACAAAGGCCAGTGTGTCAGACTCAATTTTTTATGCATGAAGTCAAGAATTTTGTTACTGTATTTGCCTTCTATTTATAATGATAGTTATGAATATATGCATACTTGTTATGTATCAACATACTGTGTATGTACAGATGTCTTCTAAAAGCATATGCAATATGCCTGATTCCTTGTTTATAGTACTTGTAATGTGAGCACCTACAGAGGTGATGTCCCATACTGTTATGCCTTTGTGGCCATATACTTAACATTCCTGTCTGTGAATATTAGCTAATTAGTATTACTGATGCTCTGTTGTGGTATGATTTTTTCTTTTTCTTTTTTTATTCCTTTTTTTTTTCTTTTTTTTTCTTCTTGTATTGGTGCCTTCCCAAAGTATGAAAGTTGCACCAAATATAGACCTGGTAATGAAGAAAGTATATATATATATATATATATATATATATATATATATATATATATATATATATATATATATATATATATATATATATATTTGTTTATAAAAGTTCCATTCACCAGAAAATAGCTGTTACTCAAATATAATGAGCTCTACTTTAGCTCAGTCTCAGCAGATATTAACAAGTAATAGTTCTCAAATTGAAGCCATCCACAGTAAGAAAGGTTACCATTCTCTGCTAAATACCATAAAAGGCAATTGAATATTATGAATATCGTTGAGAATATCCAAATGAATCCATCAATTCAGCATTTTTCCATTGCCACGGAAGTCTGCTTCACGGACATGATTCCTTCAGAGGCTCAAGGTGCTCCATCACTCATTACAGAATGAAACACAACCCATTCAGATTATATTCTCTCTATTCCTTGCTTCTTTTCTAGTTATTAGTATTTGCTGCCAGCTTAAATCAAATAGATGGTAATAAGTGTGACTTTTTTTTTTTTCTTTTTTTTCTTTTTTTTTAGGGATCAGTTGTAGATTGCAAAAGCAAAAGTTATAGATTAATCAACAAATTACTGAATAAATCTGATTGTGTGTGTCTTGCAGATGCAAACTAGTCCTTAGATACATTTCTTTATTTTCTTTGCAATATAGCAGAGCATTTATTATTTCAGCTCTTATAGATGAGCTTGACAGTATTCTTTGAAGTGGTTTTATTTTATCTTATATATATATTTTTTTTCTGAAATAAAATATGAATTATTAACAGTACGTAATTTTCATGCATACATAGCTAGATTCATTCCTCTTATGTTTGGTGAACTAACTGTGATTGTGAAAAAAAAAAAATCTGGTCAGTATTTTTTCTTTTCTGCTGAGGAAAATATTTGTGTAACAGTTATTTTCTTTGTGAAAAGTAACCATGATTATTATTTTTTTTTTTTTTTTTTTTTTTTTTTTTTTTTTTTTTTTTTTTTTTTTTTTTTATGCCTAACTCAGAATTTAACTCTCATGCAAAGTATTTTGTGGCCTCCAAATGTGAAAATGGTTAATTGTGACACTCCCTGCAAAATGCGAATGCTGAATCTTCTCAAGTCATTTGTTTATTTGCTATTCTATACTGATTAATTGATTTACTGATTATCATTCAGCACATAATTTTTTTTTTTTTTGTTATTATTATTATTATTATTATTATTATTGTTATTATTATTACTATTATTACTTTTTTTTTCTTTTCTGTTCTTCTTATTATTATCATTATCATTGATTTTATTTATATTTTTTTGTTGTTGTCAAAGAAAAGGAGTGGTCCAATTTAAGCTTGGTTTGTTGGTAAAACAATGAAATTATCTGACTGTTCTGTTACTGCAGTAAATATGACGAGGATTTTCAAGCAAGTCAGAGTAGCTGATTTATATATATATATATATATATATATATATATATATATATATATATTATATATATATATATATATATATATTTTTTTTTTTTTTTTTTTTTTTTTTTTTTTTTTTTTTTTTTTTTTTTTTTTTTTTTTTTTTATTTGTGGTAGGATAAGTTAATCTACATAACAGTTGTCTTTGGAAGTGATATTTTTATATAGCCTGTCAACTCAGTATACGTTATTAGAGTTTATTGGGCCAAAGGTGAAATATACAAACATTAGTACAGTCATATTTTGAGAAGTCTTTGCAGCATTCTGAACTTTTCATCTGCTTGCCTTCATTTTTTTTTTTTTTTTTTTTTTTTTTTTTCTTTCTCTCTCTTTTTCACTCTCTATTCATTGCTGGATGCCTGACTTTTTTTTTCAAGATAGCAGCTGATGCATTATATATAGATAAATATATATATGTAATTTATAATAAAAGTAATATAACAAAATATTTCATGTGAAAGACTTCTTGGATATGTCCTTCGGATCTGCAACGTTTAAGTGAATTTGTTTTTTCATCTCTTTTTTTTTTTTTTTTTTTTTTTTTTTTCTTGTTTTTTTTTTTTTTTTTTTTTTTTTTTTTTTCATTTTGGAAAGGGAATAAGTTAGAGAAAGAAGCTCAGGTGATGCAACAGTTTTACCAAGACAAGTGTGATTTAACTCAGGTGTGGAATGTGTAGGAGTGTTTGAGGATATTCGGAAAATTGTGACGCCCTTGTCTGATAGAGGGGAAAGTGAGTCGAAATGCATCTATGTTAATATCCCATATACTTTATGAAGAAACTCTGTTTAAAATTCTGAAGGATCACTAGACTGGATCAAGTGATCTTGCTTTTATTGTATGCCTGTCTCCTATTAACACTGCAATATTGGTTGTGCATGTTGCAACCTCCCAAGAAGCATTCATTTATAAAGTGTTGAGTTTACTGAGGATTAAACTCCCATGTGTTTTTGTATGCTAATCTTATATCATATAACATTTTAATGCCCAGTAGGCAAGACATGGTGAAATCATTTCATAAAGTTCATATCATGAAAAGTTTCATTTAGTTTTTTTTTTTTCTTTCCTTTTCTTTGAGAAAACCATACTTACTATACTGAAAGATTTAATATATGTAATATACAGAGGGAAGTTTTATATATGTATATGTATGTATATGTATGTTGTATGCATGTATAAACATATATATATATTAGCATCTGATTGTGTGTATGACTGTAACCAGGCGAATATGTATGTGTTTTGTAACTGTGGAAGGTCCCCATGCTCACAGAATGTATATAAACTATTTGTAAAGAAAACGGCTGAGAAGTTGAGTGTTTATGTACACTAAAATAAGACGGAACACTTTTGGAAGTTTTAATCTCCTCTTTTGCACAATATATTCCTATTTTTCTTATTCATTACCATATCACAGAACCAAATATCTATATCTCCAGAGAGAACTTGTGTTTTATCATACTAATTTATGACGGTATCCAAAACCAATAGATGAAAGGATGTTTGGAAAATAACACTAAGAAACCAAAATATAATAATTTTGTTGCTAGTATTATACAGTATGATATAACATACAGTAGTTTCATAAACAGATAAGTACATGAATCTGGAAACTGACATTCCACTCGTGACTTCGTGAAAGGTGCAGGAGTCATACTTAGTTTATGCCAGAAAGAGTTGGACAGGGATGGCGTAGGAGTTTTCTAAAAGGAATTCCAGATGGCTGTAACTATTAAAGAATTATATTTTCAGCTGCAGTACGGTCCTAGCACAGGAATGGGACACATTCTTCAAAAGATAATTCTACCAGAATCCAGGATTTTTTACCTTTTAATATGGCAACTATTTTGATCATTGGCGTTTATTCATACACTGTGTAAGGGGGACTAAGAAACAAGAAACTAGAAACTGTTACACAGAAATCATTTACATATTTCCACTGCACAAAAAGAACCATAAGCTAAGTTGTGAAGCATATCACTGGAAGCTAAGACACATTCAGGAGAGAACTGCATTGCCAGATACATTAATGGATAATGAGTAATGAGTAGCGACTAGATGAACAACCCATGTAATACAAATTCAAATGGATGAATCATTTTAAAAACGCATATAGCGACCATGGTATTCAGCATTTCAAGTTTTACAGCTTGTTGATATATCTCCTTGAATATCCTTAAATGTGAGTACAAATATTTTTATTTTACAAAAAAAGCAAAGCAATATATCTCACGTCACAGCCATCGCACCAAAGCGCTTTTCAGCTTCCCTTTTCACTTCACTTGCGATGTCATTAGTAAGCCTCCTTATTTCATCATCCCACTTCTGCTTCGTATTCTCATTGGTTGCTGTGAATACATACCTCTTCGGTTTCCTTTCTCCATCTCTCAGTACCACAGCAAACGACGCAGCGGGTTCGGGTTTCAGACAGATAGGGAGTAGCTGGTCCATGCGTAGGGTACACTGATACCTGTAGACCCCACCCTCTGGGAGGCTGATGACCAGCATCTCGACGAAAAGGAGGACGCGGTAAAGCTTCTTCTGCATCCCTGGCCCTTTGATCTTGAAGGAGCTGTGGAGTAGCAACGGTGCCTTAATATGCAGGTTGAAAGGACAACCCTTTACGGCATCAAGGATAATGCCACTGTCTCCGAGGCGATTCAACTCCTTGAGCATCGTCACGGCTTCTTGCAGGATGTCTCTGTCGTCTTTTGAGACACTAGAAAGAAACTTTTCTAGATTCATGAAATAGAAGTGAGGTCTTTTCCACGAGGTTCTCAGGGCTTCCTCCAGGTCGGGATGATCTCTAATGTCGGATTCCGGGACCTTTGCCAATACCTCTTTGATCAGAGGACCATTCATTAAGTGATATTTGTAGGACTCCAACTGTTTCCGTCGAGAGAGGAATGTTTGTGCGATCGATGAGTAAGAGTGGTACGAGGATTGTAGTTCTCTGTACAAGTCATGGTGTAAATGTTCTATTGCCTCTACACCGTGTAAAAGATGATGCAGCTGTGGTGACAATGCCCTTGCATCTGTTATACAACGTAAATGATTCAGGTAGTCGTATTCATTTCTCAGGAAATGAATGATGGAATCCTCCTGTGAGCTCGTATTATCCTCAACGTGATGAGCCGTGTCATACTCAAAGATGCGTTCAGAATCCTCAATGTTTAGACCAAGAGATTCGTACAAATCTTCTGAAAAATCTAGGGGTTCGTGGTCTGAAAACTCACTATCATCGGAGAGAGAATCATAAATGTTTTCCGTGTTAGTCTTTTCCTCAACCTGTAACACTACATTTTCATATTGGACATTTTTTCTCCAGAAGGGGAAAATCCTTTTCTTTGGTTTGTTTGGGCCCTTGTGTGCCTCTTCTCCCGTTTGTTCTTTCTTTGAAAGGGACTTAAGCTGTAATTTGAAGCTGGAACCTGTGGAGGTTGCAGCCACGCCACAGTCCTTGCCCATTTCGCTGGCTCTGGGAGGAAGTGGTGGGGGGGATTTGGATGTTCTGTGACTGGAGTTTCTAAGGTTGCCACTGCCTCTCGGAGGGGGAGGTGGTTTGACTGTGACTGAAATGGGCGAGATCTGCTCGACTACACTTTTTCGCGGAGGTAGAGGGGGCTTAACTTTGCGCTGTGCACTATTTCTCGGAGGGAGGGGCGGTCTCCATACTCCAGAGTGGGCCGCCTCACTGGGATCCTCTTGAAAATCAGCTGGGGCATCACGCCCCCCACTCGGCGACAGGTGCTTGGGCAGTGCGACAGACGCAGGGCGCGAAGGGAGCTTCGGCTTGGGGTCCTCTCTGGGCAAGCAAAAGGCTGGTGTTAAAGTTGTCTAAGTTGCAAAATGCCCATACATATTTAACCATACAAGTACTTATGAATCTTTCTCTTCCTTCCCTTCCTTCCACCCCCCACCCCCCTTCTCTCTCTCTCTCTCTCTCTCTCTCTCTCTCCCTCTCTCTCTCTCCCTTTCTCTCTCTCTCTCTCTCTCTCTCTCTCTCTCCCCCTCCCTCCTCTCTCTCTCTCTCTCTCTCTCTCTCTCTCTCTCTCTCTCTCTTTCTCTAATCTCTCTCTCTCTCTCCCCTCTTTCTCTCCCCTCTTTCTCTCCCCTCTCTCTCTCTCTCTCTCTCTCTCTCTCTCTCTCTCTCTCTCTCTCTCTCTCTCTCTCTCTCTCTCTCTCACTCTCTCCATCTCCATCTCCATCTCCATCTCCATCTCCTACTCCATCTCTCTCTCTCTCTCTCTCTCTCTCTCTCTCTCTCTCTCTCTCTCTCTCTCTCTCTCTCTCTCTCTCTCTCTCTCTCTCTCCCTCCCTCCCCCTCCCTCCTCTCTCTCTCTCTCTCTCTCTCTCTCTCTCTCTCTCTTTCTCTAATCTCTCTCTCTCTCTCATCTCCATCTCCATCTCCCTCTCTCTCTCTCTCTCTCTCTCTCTCTCTCTCTCTCTCTCTCTCTCTCTCTCTCTCTCTCTCTCTCCCTCCCTCCCTCCCTCCCTCCCCTCTCTCTCTCCCTCCCTCCCTCCCTCCCCTCTCTCTCTCTTTCTCTCTCTCCCCCTCCCTCTTTCTCTCTCTCCCCCTCCCCCCCCCCCCCTCTCTCTCTCTCTCTCTCTCTCTCTCTCTCTCTCTCTCTCTCTCTCTCTCTCTCTCTTTCTCTCCTTCTCCATCTCCCTCCCCCTCTCTCTCCCTCTCTCTCTCTCTCTCTCTCTCTCTCTCTCTCTCTCTCTCTCTCTCTCTCTCTCTCTCTCTCTCTCTCTCTCTCTCTCTCTCTCTCTCTCCCTCTCCCTCTCCCTCCCTCCATCCCTCTCTCTCTCTCTCGCTCTCTCCCCCCCTCTCTCTCTAAATATATATATATATATACTGTGTATTATATCGGTATCATATGCCTGCGTAGCGACCATGTGGATGCTTGCACCAGCCGCGTGGCCGCCCACGCTAGCTACCGTCGGCTTGGGACGCTATCTACCCTCGTCCCCACTCGCACTAGCCGCGTGGCTTGGGGGACGCTACCTACCCTCGTCCCCAAGCCAACGCTCTATTTAAGGCCTGCAGGTGACCCCTGTAGACAGAGTGTACTTTGCCGGGCCCGAGGTCACACACACCGACCCTCGCGGACGGTCTGCCCTCTGGGCTGAGCTCGCCAGTGACCTTGTGCTGAACTCTTCTCAATAAAGAGATTAAGCCACTCAAGCTTTTACTGTCCTGTCACCAATGTTTAGAGGTTCAATGAATCAATCTATAAAATCTTACAATTTGGTGACAGCGGTGGTAGTTGCGTCCTTTTGGCACGCAACCGAATCATCCTCCGAAGAGAAAACGCTCAGCTTCAAGCAAACACAAGATGACATTTCTTCAAGAAACTGTGAGTACACATTTTGGGTCCCTTCTCTTTTTATTTCCTTTCTATTTTTCCCTAAATGTGTTAAGCCGTGTACAGCGATGCTCACGGTAGCACTTTGCTGGGTTAAAGTGCTAATCACCGAAATGGCATGATTAAATTATATTGTTTCAATTGTATCGAATTTAGCGCATTCGTGATTTTATTCTTCAAATATTCACTCATTAGATTCTTCTCTCTCCATTTTCTGTCTTGACCTGACCTCACCTGAAAGTCATTAGTCAGAGCCCACTTGGGACAGCTGTCGTGACCTGACCTCACCTGATGGTCATCCTTCGAACAGCTGGGGTGACCTGAAAAAAGTGAAAGAGCTCCATCCCTCACTGAGGTGAAGCACCCTTTGGGTGGTTGCTTCAGAGGGATGAGCACTAGGGTTTCAAGAAATGATGTCCTGTAGGTGGAAGGGCATCCCCTCTGGTCTCTCCCCAGGGGTTTACACCTACCCACGCGTTTGCCGTGGGTGGCAGCCTTGTGGGCTGTGGAGACGGGAGTCCTGGAGGTTGAGCGATGCCGTGAATGAGTACGCCCTGCGGCTAGCAACACGCCTCTTTGGTCCTCTATTCCAGCAAGACAGGCGGTCTGATCCCGGCCCGGTCACGGTCAATCGGCTGGTCTCCCACGGGAGGCTAGGGTCATGCCTCCATTGGCACTCACAATGGTGCGTGAGCGCCGCCACAATGGTTATTGGCTGCGTATATCCTCTCATCACCCCTGCGGCTGTCAGACACTGGCTCTGACACACAGCTTCCCCTTGTTGGACTCCGTGGTGGATGGGGGCATGAGAGGATAAGGCACTGTCCAATACATGGAAAAATTAAAACAAGACCCCCCACTGACAGATCTCAAAGTTGATGACCCATGCAAGGCCCAGACCACGGCAGCCACACTGGAGCCATACGTGGCTTCAGATGGCAATCGAAAACCCAATGTCCATCAGATTATCAAACAGATGGACTCTCGTGCTGGTCTCTCCAGACCAGCAACCAAGCCAGGGAGGCCCCTGAGTCTCCCTCAGAAGGCCTCCCCGACAGGGACGGGGGCACAGGCTGGACCAGCCAAACCAGCAGCTGCCGCCCCCCACAAACAAGCCCCCTAGCCGAAAGGGCGCCACGAACAAGCCCCCTAGCCGAAAGGGCGCGCCGAAGCGACCAAGGCCGGAGACAGACTCTAATGGAGAGTCTGGACCCACCAACTGTCGCTTCACCGAAGGTTTCGACAATGCCTACCAGTTGGTTAGAGCATTGGAGATGCAGCGGCAAATCCGGCTTTCAATCCGGGTTGCCAGAGATCAAGGCATGATCATAGTGCCGATATATCATGCCACCCTGAACTTCCTTCGGGAAACCAAGGAGTTAAAAGATGGGAGGAAAGTGAGTCTTTCCCCAGTAATTCCTGAGGAGAAGAGAACCAAGATGGTGCTACTTGGCTTCTCAGTCTCGTATGATGTGGAGCTAATCACTTCACATCCTCAGGTCGTGGAGGCTTCCCGAATGGCAGTAGGGAAGACTCCAACCAGGCAAGTCCTGGTGACATTGAAAGGTGCCCCAACCACTACCCTTGATCTGAGTAACTGGGGCACCTACAACTTGAGAACTTACGTGCCTGAACCACTTCGGTGTTTCAAGTGCCAGAGATACGGCCACCACCAGGCTAGCTGCACAGCCAAGCCTAGATGTGGTGTCTGTAGCAAGGCACACAACACAAAGAAGAGAAAAGGGACACAACAGCCAAATGTCCCAACTGTGCTAAGAGGCCTGGAGCCTGACTTGCTCTGTCAGGAAAGAGGCAGCCTCAAGCGACAAGAGGTTGCTGAGAGGCTGAAGCAGAAAAAGAACCAAAGGAAGAAAGGTTCTAAGAAGGCTTCAAAGCCCTCCTCAAGAGATGATGATCTCTTCGATGAGGCAGACATGACCCTCCTGGTGACTGCTGTCGTGACAGCAGTGGCGACATCCCTGGGGAGGACAAGGGAAGAGGCGGAGACGGCAGTCACGGTCGCCATGACGGCAATGACCAAGACTGTCGGACTCCCCTCCCCACTCCAACCCAGGCAAGCCCTTCACAGGCAGAGCCACAACAGGCTGAATCTGCACAGCCAGAGCCAGAACACACTGACCCTGCCTGGCAAGGCCAGCCAAGAGAAACGCAGATAGGCCTGAGAGAAAAGCCAAAGTTACAAGAGTCAGAGCTACCAAAGGCTCTCCATCCCCCAGTGGACCCACGGATAGCCTGACTTCAGACGAAGAACCTTCAGCCAAAGAGGACTTCGCGATGTTGTCAGAGTTGGATTGTGACGGTGTCTCAGATGTAAGTATCAACTAGTAACATCATTGCACACAATCTAAGCATCCTACAGTGGAACATAAATGGCTTTTCCGGGAGGAATGCCATGCTCCAAGCAGTAGTGCGATCAAGGAGCATTGACGTTGTCATGCTCCAGGAGACACTAACGGTGGACACTGTTCACTTCTCAGGGTATCACGGCTTCATGCTGCCACAAACGGTTGGTAAAAGAGGCCTGATCACCCTTGTCAAAGCAACAATCCCCTGCTCCGCAATAGCCGATGCACCGCACTGTGGAGACGAGACAGGTAGAGATCCACCTGGCCGGGGGGCCCCTCAAACTGTACAACGTGTACAACCGGCCAGGCTGTAGTGGCTTAGATATCAGCCAGGTCTGTGCGTCTGCTGTACAAGGCCGAGTGATCATTGGGGGAGACTTCAATGCACATCATCCCATCCTGGCTCCCTGCTGGGCACCGGATGCGGCTGACCATCGCATAGCCAACGTGCTTGAGACGTTCCCCGAGATCGCTCTCCTCAACACGCAAGAGCCAATGCATGTCAGAGGTGGGGTACTAAACCTCACCCTGGTCACTGCGACTCTGGTGGACAGGATTAGCTGGTGTGTAGATGAGACTGTCACAAGTGACCATTACAGCACGGTTACCACACTCATGGATGCAGGCCCAGCCGAAATCCCACGACCAAATCCAAGATGGAACACAGACAAGGCCAACTGGCAGGCGTTCCAGAACGCCTTGGCCTACTGTCTGAGAGGCAATGAATCCACATAAGCCGAAAATGTGGATGTGCTCGAAGCCAGACTGGTTGAAGCCATAAACCAAGCAGCCTCACTGACCATACCTAAAACTCGGCCTGGGTCCAGGTGTCACAAGGACGCCTGGTACTTTAACGACGAGATCAGGGAGGTCAACCACAGGCTAAACATGTGCCGAAAACTCTTCTAAAGGCAAAGAACCCCTGACAACCTCGCACTGCTGAGGGAGGCTGTCAGGGATGCCAAGGAAACTACCAACAGAGTTAGGCAGGAAAAGTGGCTGGAGTGGTGTGAGTTCTTCGACCACCAAACCACCCTCTCAGAGCTGTGGCATCGGGTCAGGCGAGCTACCAGCCGCTCAGCCCCGAGACGAATGCACTACGACCCTCAAGCAGAGACAAATAGACTGGTGCACGAGTTCTCTGAGAGAACAAGCAGCAACAGTCTACCAGCTGAGCTGAGGGCCAAACAAGAAAGCCTGAAAGCAGACAGACTTGCTCAGATCAGAGAAAGGGCAGCCGAACCTGATAACTCAGACGTTATCTTTTCTCTTAGGGAACTTAGAAAAACCTACAAATCCAGTTCCAACACAGATCCGGGCTCTGATGGGATCACGTATCCCATTATCTCCCCCCTAGGACGAGAAGGTGAACTTGCAGTCCTTCAACTCATCAACAAGTCCTGGGAATCTTCCTCTCTACCACAGAGCTGGAAGAGGGCTACCATAGTTCCCATCCCAAAACCAAAGGAACCAGGGAAGTACCGCCCCATCTCTCTCCTCAGCTGTCTGGCCAAGACGGCTGAGAGGATGGTATTAAACCGGCTCCTATGGAATATGGGAACCCCACATGAACACCTCCACGGGTTCACCAGGGGAATGAGCACTGAGCTGAGCTCGCCAGTGACCTTGGGCAACCTCGCGCTAAACCCTAGACTTGTTATCGTTGTGTCTATCCACCCGTGTGCTGAACTCTTCTCAATGAAGAGATTAAGCCACTCAAGCTTTGACTATCCTGTCACCAATGTTTAGAGGTTCAATCAATCAATCCATAGCCCTTTACACTCTCTCCCTCTCTCCCCTCTTTCTCTCCCTCTCTCTCTCTTTGTATATGTCTCTCTCTGTTTCTCTCTCTCTCTCTCCCTCCCTCCCTCCCTCCCTCTTCCACCCTCTCCCTCCCTCCCTCCCTCTCTCTTTCTCCCTCCCTCCCTCCCTCTCTTTCTTCCTCCCCTCCCTCTCTTTCTTCCTCCCTCACTCCCTCCCTCTCTCTCTCCCTCCCTCCCTACCTCTCTTTCTCCCTTCCTCACTCCCTCTCTTTCTCCCTCCCTTCCTCCCTCTCTTTCTCCCTCCCTTTCTCCCTCTCTTTCTCCCTCCCTCTCTTTCTCCCTCCCTCCCTCCCTCCCTCTCTTTCACCCTCCCTCAATCCCTCTCTTTCTAACTCCCTCTCTTTCTCCCTCCCTCCCTCCCTCTCTTTCTCCTTCCCTCCCTCCTCTCTCTCTCTCTCTCTCTCTCTCTCTCTCTCTCTCTCTCTCT